CATTGGAGTTTCACAACCCGTTTTACGTGAAGTGGCGTAAAACTCAGTGAAAAACGCGATATTCAACGCGGTGATATGCAGTGGTTTGCTTTCACACGTATTTTCCACACCACTAGGGTGAAACTCCTATCTATATATAAATGATAATATTATATATATTTGTAATTAAATTGCGGAGCGAGCGAAGCGAGCGGAGCTTATTCTCTCACTTCACTTCACTTCTATTCTCCGATCTAGAATAGATATGAAAAGGTATGAACCACCATTCGAAAGCTCCCGGTCTGGGGATCTTGCAAAAAATATGAAAACCCATCAGCAGCTGCTCCGAAAACCGCCGAAAATTAATTGCGTTAGAAATGATGTCCGTGGGGATCGAACCTGCGCCATCAATTTTCGGCGCGGGAGTCGATCGAGTCAATCGTTCTTGCGCGAATAACGCGAGCACAATCCTTCTCCAAGAAGGCCTAATACTGTATATTAGTAACCTATTCGATATATACTGTTTAGTATTTCATAAAGACTTTATACGTTTTTACTTTAAATTCCATTTTCCAAGTGTTTACTTTAATAATAAAGTAGAAACTTGGAAAATAAATTGTTCGCCAGCGGCGAATAAATCGTTTATTGGTAGATCATGTAGACCAGTCTGCGTACAGATGCTCTGCACAAGCCCTATGATATTCGCAAATGGTTGAGAAAGACCTTCTACTAGGAATATCAAAAATTCTACCGCTAGGAGCCTCTGGAGGACCTCCCTACTCATCGAACTCTCTGCCGTGTAACACACTATCTACCGATTCATGACTCAGTGACTGAGCCTACAGCTATACCCCTACACTTGCTATTACTCGCCTGATCGCAGGGGCGCTGCACAGAAGAAGAAGAATTAGAAACTTTTTCCTATACGTATATTTTGGTACTAGCATAACATCAGTGTTGTAGGAATATATATTCGCTTTCCTCATCTGAGCTCAGGACTTCACCTACGAATTCGCGTTCAACAATAATTTCCCGCAAATTTCCTTTTGTCACCAACACATATAGTTGCCCATCCCTCCCCCCATGCGAATCTCGCTCGCCCCAAATCGATCAACAATTTCTTACTCTTCTATATTCACATGACATAAAGTACAGATATAACCTTGACCATGAGCCAGCTCTAAAAAAAGAAAAAATGATCAATAAAAAAATCGCTTCGCTCCGCTAAGATAGATGATACATACCTTTCAAATTCACATCCAACTCCTCCAAGCTTTCAGTTTTCACATCAAAAAAATCCTGAAAAATTTACGGAAAAATTTCCGCCGAAAAAACTCAAATTTTCCCTACTTCATCACCGTCTTCCGATATAGTCTCCAGTAACTAAAACACACCAATTGATTTAGCGCTCGCCCGCGTGATCGATTTAAGCTCACCTGTTCAAAATCTACGGTCGAATCGACGTCCATGGGCACATCCTTATTCAAATCCGGATTGATGGTAAGTAAAATTTTCTGCAGAAAAAAATGATAAAATTTTCCGAAATTTTCCGGGAAAATTTCTGCTCAAAATCAACAACAACGATGTGAAAACATAAATATTTTCTGCAAATTCTCCGTAAAAATGCTGTATTTTTTCCCATTACTTTTCCGGAAAGAATCATCTCGAAATTTCCACTCACTTTTCCACTTGTTATTTCCGCATTCCCATCGGTGTTCTCTTTAGAAGCGGCGTTCAACACGGTCTGAAATCACGAAAAAATTGCAAATTTTCGCGAGAAGTTTTCCCACATACTGCGTGGCAATTTCATAAACAAATTATATTTTCCAGCAACTTTTCCTGAAATTTTTTCCCAATTTCTCACCAAAAATTTTTCCGTTTACCATTGGTTTTTTCGTAGCCTTTGGAGGAGCATTCATCACATCCGTTTTACGACTTTTTCCTGAAATTTTTTCCCAATTTTTCACCAAAAATTTTTCCGTTTACCATTGGTTTTTTCGTAGGCTTCGGAGGAGCATTCATCACATCCGTTTTACGACTTTTTCCTGAAATTTTTTCACAATTTTTCACCAAAAATTTTCCCGTTTACCATTGGTTTTTTGGTAGGCTTTGGAGGGGCGTTCATCTCAGCTGCTTTCCTTAACCGTCGACTTCTCCTCATTTTACTTTTTCCACAATCTAGGAAAAAAATGAAATCGATCAACTGAGCGATACATATATAAATAGCATATACAGATATTATCGGAGTTTCTTGACCCCAGTGAAAAAATATATTTCGCGACTACTGCATATCACCGCGAGAATCGC